TTTTTTCTAATTAAAGTAGAAAAATTTTTGAAAGAAATTTTCCTTAAAAAGTTAAAAAAACAAACTATTGAAATTTCAATTCTTTAATTATATTTGAGTTTAATATTCCTTTTAAAATGAATTCACTTGACTTAATGTTATGACAACTAGCTAACTATGTACCGTATATGAAAGAAAATCTTTTAAAAAATTTTTATTTTTAAAATACGAAAATTTATAATAAAAAGAAATTATTCTTTGTCTTCAAAATTGGCATACGATATTAATTAAAGTAAGTAGGAAATTTTAAATTTTTAAATTTATCTTTCAAAAAAACTCTTTTAGAATATTATGTGAACATAAATCTATTACATAAATACTCCGGACTCTATTGATTTCAATTGAAAAAAACTAATTTAAATCCTTTTCATTATCCTTTCACATACCTGAACTTTAAACTATTTTACTTTTAAATGAGTTCTTAATAAATGTTTATATATCTAGACAAAAAATAACATTTTCATCGGGTGAATATAAAATATATTAACAAAAAAATATTTCAGTTTCAGAATTTATTATGGAAAGATTGAGATTTTTTTTAAAACATAAAAGCCTTATACTCGTAATCTAATATTTTTTTTTTTTTTAAATTCTTAGAAAAATTTCTACAATTGTAATGGGGCTGGTCTACAATTCTTTTTGCGAGTTACGGACCTGACAAATGTTAATGCCAGTTATTTGAACCAGTTTACAAAGGGCTCGGGCTAGTTCATGTAAGGCTGGTGATATGGAGATCCGGCGTTATCACAAAGGGTTTAATTGGCCTAAGTGTATCCTCGGATGGCAACGTCAAACTAAACCTAAACCTAAACCTTGGCTCTGTATCTACGTTTACAGATTTCGGTGTTTTTTGTGTTTGTTGATCAGAAAATATTCTACTCAAACTTCTAATTCATTATGATCTGTGACGTGTTTTCTATGGCAATGACTACTTTTATAGGTGTATTATTTACTTAATAATGGGTGTTTTTATTATTTATGGGTGTTTGTCCAATATATTTACCGCTACAATCTCCACAAGCAATTTCTATTGCTCTAAAGCCATTTATGTTTGCGACATTTCATAAAATTATATTAGTATAAAATTGCATAATTTTAGGCAAACAAGTCAAATTCAAACATTAAAATTTTATGCTGTAAATATAAAAAGTGGAATAGCCTGATTTTCAGCTTTAATGTTTAGAATATATTAAATTTGAAAAAAATAAAAGTGGGGAAGGGGGAGGCGAGAATTGGAATTCGAACAAATATTGCAATGCGATGCAATTAAATTCATGATTAAAAATCTCTTTCAAATTAAAAATCTCTAACATACCCTGAACCAAAAATCAAAAATTGACAATATTTAATTTCTTTTATAGAACTAAAATTTAATTTCACATTAAATTTTGAAAGACCAGAAAAATTTTTCAAAATTCTTTGAATTTTATAAATCATTATTCTCTTTTAAAAAAATAAAATTTTATTTTTAGAAAAACAAATTACATTGAAATCCTCATACAAATTTGAAAAAAAAAATCCTTACTTAATTCAAAATATAATTTTTTTTCAACTTATTCAAGAAAATCCAAATTAAATTACTTAAGAAATGTCTACGCACCAAATGGACAAGGCAAATATTCTATTTTTAATTTTATAATATTCTTTTTAATTCAAAAATATACCCACTTAGACACTAACCTTGCACTAACATTTTTAAGAGTTTGTACATCTAATCATATATATACGCATAATATCCTTACTTAACACAATTATTTTACAAATATATGTATATGCAGACTCTTCTACAATTATTATATGTATTAATAATGGTCATCCTAAATTTTTATTTTACACCTACTTAAATTAATAGGATTTTCATTGCTCATTATTTTAATTACATTATAATAAACATACTTTTACATATAAAGAATATTTGAATTCTCTATTTTTAAATGTCCTTGACACTACTCCTACTTGTACTATTTCTAGGTTTTATATATAAAACCACAATATATCTAATATGAAATGAGAAATATAAAAATTATTTTATTAAAAAAAAAAAATTATTCTAAAAATAAATTTTAAATGTAAAATTTTCAGAAAAATTAGACAAAAAAATATTTCAAGCTCTGAGGTAGATTTTCAGTTAACATAAAGGTATTTAAAATATTTTCATGTGAATTTAAAACTTAAAATTTGCTATGACCAATTTTCAGGTTATTTTTAAATATAAAAGAATTAAAAATAAAGATTTGTTTTTATAATAGTATTAAAGATTTTTATTCTAGGTTAATGTTACCACCCAAAACACAAGTACTAGTTATATAAAACAATTCAATTTTATACTTTAAATTTCACGTTAATCTAAACTGCTATTCATTTTAATGATTTTAGATTAAATAGGATTTTCTGTAGCAACAACCTTCCCTGGAATTATCTGTTATAACTTAAAATAAGCATATAATTTAAATTATCTGTCAAAAATGTATAGGCCTAAACTGAGTGTGTATTGTAACTAAATTGTATGGTTGAGAGTGCCGATCAAAACATAAATTAAAAAATTGTGATCTACTTCTTCCGTGATTAAAGACTTCACTTTCGTATTCAATCCAATTTGAAACAATCAATTCTCTTTCTACTTAACAACCTTAAAATTCGACGGATTTAGCTTTGAGTTGTTGACATTATTCTGCATTTTGACAGTAAATTTTTGAAACCAAATAATGCCCATAAAATTTATTTAAAATAATTATAATATTAATCAACATTGATTCCCACCACCATCGCTTTATAATTATAGTTTTTCAATTGTAATTTTCGTGCTGACAATATGAGAGTTGATCTTTCAAAATTCTTTACACGAAAACGATCTGCTTTTTGTCACAAAAATGCACTACGTCAGTAAGATTTCAGATCAAAGTATTATCGGTCAACATGAACTCAACCTAATTCGTATTCAAAATCACCCCTAAATAATTAGTTCCTTTCTTTTGGACATCTCATTTTCCCCATATTCTTATATACAATCCTTACTAATTTGTTTCTTCTAAGAATTAAGAATTATAAACTTCGTGTATTTTTGATAATTGAGTTCATTGATTATTTTAATTTACAAATAATTTGATTATTTGAATCGAAAATTAATCAAATATATCTACTAATATCTTATTTTATTTACAAAATTATTATTATTATTTTGATAATAAGATTATTAAAATTTACTATAGTGTCCTTATATATCCTCGATATTAAAATAATACTTCCTTTTCATTATTATAGTTAATTACGTTATACCAAATGATAAACCTATATTCAATTATAATTCTACTATGATTTATTTCAAGATAACAACTTAGATACGATACGATATAAACATTCTGACTCATTATCATTATAATCATTATATTCATTATCTTATTCTTTTACCACTTTAACACTAAAATATAATTAACTAATCAAATTTACACCTACCTATTTACTGTAATTTTCGTATACATACAAAATATTCTATATAGCTATGTACAGTGCCGCCATTTGAATTCTTTCAAGTGAAACCAAAAATAAAAACAAACAAAAAACGTAACAAGTCTAGTCCATTAGAAAAAAAAAAACGAAGAAACAAATGAGATTTCCATTTAAAGAGAAACAAAGAAAAAGGACACTCAGGATATTTGAAATGATTTTAGTTAATGAGGGATAACATTATACAAAAAAAAATAATTTGAAAATCAATTTAGAAATTATAATCAGTATTTTCCGACTTTTAATTACATTAATTTTTGATTTCAATTTTAGATATTCAGTCACTAGCAAACTAAATGGTTGTTTCAAATTTTTAATTTAGAAAATTCACCATTTTCTCAATTAAAATTCTAATTCAAACTTCTGATAACACAATTTCTGCATTTCCGATATAAAATTATGGGTTGTGTGGCTAGTTAATATTATATAACAGTTTTAATTCTAAAAAGGCCACGAAGAATTCAGCAAGACGACGCATCAATGCCATATTTCGGCTACTTCAGTTTATTAAACGGGAAATTCATATACGGCCGAGGAATGAAATTTTCAATCTCATTCACTAACAGCTGTCCCAAATACCTTAAAAAACTGTTTTCTACATAATATTTGCAGCCTATCCCAAGGTGGCATATTCGTAAAAGAAGAAAAGTTAAAAAAAGTTCCCTTCTTTCTTATTTAACAACAACTTCTCAAATTTATATTGTAAGAAATCGGTTGCGATCCTACAATTCCCTACATATAAATTGTTATCGTGAAGAGACTTATAACGATAAGAAACAAACTATCGAATTGTTCGAATAATAAAACTAAACCTCATCTTCCTCTAAATTCTTTTTAATATTGTCAAATATTAATCTAATTATACCAAAATAAGTTAATCATTCTGTCTGTAGAATCATGATTCAGAAAAAGAGTAATTTTTAAAGTACCATCCGCTGCAAAAATCTTCCTTTTAAATTAGAAATAATATTTTTTTGAATTGTCAGAGTTTTATGCAACAAGGGACTATATTACACACTTACACAGAACTCTTTTATCTAAATAAATCTGCAATATTTGAAACTATTCCATAACATCTGACCAAATAGGACATACGCATTTCCTATAAATATATAAAAGAAGATGAGAAGCTATACAAGAACGAAAACAAAAATATGAACACATTTACCGTTATAAAAATGAAATGTACCGTTTTCTATATATAATTGAAAAAATTGTTGTTTCATTTTCATATTTTAAAATTTAATTTTCTTTTCTTTTCTCTTGCTATTTGAAAATTGTCATTATCATTTAACATTTAGTGATTTATATATGTCCTTTTTTATAACTGTAATTTTTATATTAGAATATAGGTATATAAGGTTAACTAAGCGTATATAAACAAATATATATTTTTATATATACAAATATTCTATTATACAAGTTTATTCAATTGAAAATTATTTTTATATTTATAGCGGCAAGAGCCAAAATCCTTGGATCAACAGAAGTCTTTGTTAAAAAAGACAGTACAATATCATTAGGATGTACAGTTAATATTCATGCAAATTCAGTTTTATGGTAATTTTATATAATTCTTATTTATAATTTTATTTTATTTTATAAATTTCTAAAAATATTGAAGAATTTTATTTATAAAATTTTTAAATACATCTTTCCATTTACAATTAACACCATATTTTAATTACAATATAGTGTAGGGAAAATATTGTTGTATAATAATTCTATTTTTAATAATATTTGCCCCCGCCTAATTCTTTGAAGCCCTAAAAAACTTGTACGTGTAATATAAAAATAAAATTTTTTTTGGAAAAATATTAATAACTCAGTGGGTGTTATATAATTTTCGACATGGAGGCTTTTTTACGAAAATAAATGTCTATACACACATTATAATAAAAACATACTATGTACACCTGTAGGACATTCATTATTCCTATAATTTATGATAAGGATTATTATGATATGCTGCCTATAGTTATATAAATTTTATTCACAGTGTGATGTTAAAAATTTCCGTTAATAATTTGATTTTTCACATCATAAAAATTTCTGTAAAAATATAGACTTTTTGTGGTTCTTTAAATTTTGATTCACAAACTGTTTATACAATTTCCAATTCATAATAATAATGAATTCTGGTCTCAACCACTGCTTATTTGAATTCAATTTAATATAACAACCGATAAGTGAACAAAAATTAATTAAAGCGCGGCATAATCACATAAAAGAAATATTGGTTATTAAGGAAATCTCCCTTATGGACAGCACTGCGAGTTTTTCCGGAGTAATTTATGAAACTATACGTTTCATATTGAAATGCTGTTATACAGTATTAAACACTGAGCTATGAACTTTAATATTAAGAATTTAAGACTATAATTTTCTATATCATGCAAATTTAAAACCTATTTTCCATAATATAAACCCGTTATCGTTCTTATATAGACCAGGGTATTAATTGAATAAAATAAAGCGTCAGAAATTTTACCTTTTTTTGTTTTCTTTGACGTACTTATTTTGATTATTTTTTTTTTTTTCAGGTATCATAATGATCATGTAGTTGATTTTAATTCAATACGTGGCGGTATTAGTTTAGAAACAGAAAAAACTGATTCAGGTACAACAAGTCGATTATTATTAACTAGAGCATCACTTAAAGATTCTGGAAATTATAGTTGTGTACCAACAATGGCAATACCAGCATCTGTTCAAGTTCATGTACTGAATGGTAAATTACATTTATAATTGAAAATAATTTTATATGCTTTAGTTGATATACATATATAATGTATTTGGTTTAAGTTTATTTTATGTTTAAAATTTATTACAAAATAATTGTACTTTAAATATCGACAGGATCACCATATCTCAATATAACCATGAGTTCTAGGTGCAATCATTAATTTGCTTTCAATACAAAATCCGGAATTAATATAAAATTACATTCTTGAGCTTCTCTATTCCTTCACCACTTCAATGTTCTGGCAATCCCTACAAATTTCCTATAACATAATACACAAAACTTTTATCATCTTACCCCAAAGATATTTCGTTATCAAAGTACTTATCACGAGCCAAGATCCTTCCTATCCAGTACCAGCAAAACTTTTTTCACAACAATTCGCATGATAACAATGTCAAAAGTGAACTAGTACCAACATGCAGTTATTGTAAATGCCATACTTATCTCCTTTACCTTACCACACAGAAGTATAACAATAAAATAATTGAATACAAAACTGATTACAGTCCTGTCTTCCTCTTCCATTGTTCATTTCTAAGTTAATGTTTTACGAATAATTAAACGCATATTCAATTATTTTATTAATAGTGAGATCTTGAATAGTTAATCAATCTAACAATTCATGTGTGTATATTGTATTTAAAAAAAAATCTTATTATTTTTTTCAATAATAAAAAATAACGATAATTATTAAATTAGCCGAAAATTTTTCTGTAAAAAAAAAAAATCAGAATTAATATTAAGTACACGGTGTCCCCTGGAGTTTAAAATAATTATTAGTCAAGACTATAACTCATGCTCTGAATTTTCCATAATAGTATAATTGAAATTTTGTATAATAGTTTTCATAATAATTAAAATTTCCCAGAATATCAACATAACAATATTATCATTTAGCAACGAATATTTTTGATCTTTACGAGGAACCAGTTACTTCCAATCCTGGAGGTAACGAGTACTAAAATAACGAGTACTTAGTATTCGCAAATCTCTAATATACAATGCAGTTAATGTTAACTGACACAGCATATATGAACGCATATTATAATAGACATTATTTTTATTATAATTTTTATGAATATTTAATTATTAAATTTGCAAATTTAAAATAACATTTTTATCTCTGCACATAAAATGTATTAAAATTTCAGAAAACTTTCATTCAATTTCAAAAAAAAAAATTATCTATATACAAATGCATTAATGAAAATTTCTCTATTTAATTGTATATGTAATGGTTTACTTTATATAAATAAAATATATTTAATCTAAATTCATTCGAGAATAAATTCATTTTTATAGTACTCGTATAATATTTTATAGGATATTATTTTAATTTATTTTTAATTACATTTTTGTTTTTATACCCTGCACTTCGTGAAGGGTATATTAACTTTGGTATGGAGTTTGTAACTACTTGAAGGAGTCATCTGCGGTATGGACATATATATATATTCTTGCTCAGCGTAAAATTCTGCGTCGATTTAGACATGTCCGTCTGTCCGTCCGTCCGTCCGTCCGTCCGTCCGTCCGTCCGTCCGTCCGTTCGCACGATAACTCAAAAACGAATAATGCAATCGACACCAAACTTTCACAAGTTTTTTCTTTTGTGCCAAGGACGAGCCCTATTGTTATTGGACTAATTCGGACAACGGGTTCGGGTAGCTGCCATACAACTCAAAGAGTTTATTTTGAATATTTCAAAAACTAATAAAGCTGTAAATATAAAACTTTGTACACATGTGTCCAATTATATTCTACACATGCTCTAAAAATTATAATGGGATAGCTGCACCGGTTCGGGTGGCTGCCATACAACTCCAACAGCAAATTTTTTATATTCGGCAAAATAATAAAGTCAGATTCATGAAACTTGGCAGTCATGTGTCCAATTATAGGTCAAATATACTTCTGAAGTTTTAGAGGAATTGCTTTACAGGTTCGGGTACCTGCCATACAACTCCAGAAGCTAATTTTAAATATTTGGAAAAATAATAAAGTCAGATTCATGAAACTTGGCAGTTGGATGTCCGATTATAGATCAGATATATTTGTGAAGTTTTAGAGGAATTGCTTGACAGGTTCGGGTACCTGCCATACAACTCCAGAAGCTAATTTTAAATATTTGGAGAAATAATAAAGTCAGATTGATGAAACTTGGCAGTTGTGTGTCCAATTATAGGTCAGACATATTTCTAAAGTTTTAATGGGATTGCTTGACAGGTTCGAGTAGCTCCCATACAAGTCTTAAAGCTTATTCTTAATATTTGGAAAAATAATAAAGTCAGATCCATGAAACTTGGCAGTTGTGTGTCCGATTATAGATCATATATATTTGTGAAATTTTAGTGGAATTGCTTGACAGGTTCGGGGACTTGCCAAACAACTCCAAAAGCATATTTTAAATATTTGGAAAAATAATAAAGTCAGATTCATGATACTTGGCAGTTGTGTGTCCGATTGTAGATCAGATATATTTGTGAAGTTTTGATGGAATTGTTTGACAGGTTCAGGTACTTGCCATACAACTCCAAAAGCTAATTTTAAATATTTGGAAAAATTATAAAGTCAGATTTATGAAACTTGGCAGTCGGATGTCCAATTATAGGTCAGACATATCCGTGAAGTTTCTATAGAATGACTTCACAGGTTCGAGTAATTGCTACACAATAACGAAAGGTGCAGGGTATTATTCAATCGGTTTATACCGACTGAAACGTTTTTACTTGTTTATTTTTTAAATATCTACTATTTGTAATAAGCATATAATACACAAAACTTATTCATAGTGTATTATTATGCTTATAGTATACAGGGTTTTCATAATTTCAGGGATGATCCTTTGATTAATTTCCAGCAAAACATTGTGTGGGTGGGGGAGATGCAGATATACTCGTTTTCGAGTTACAGCCTGTTACGGTATAATTTCGGAACCACGCGACATAGAGTTACCATCGGGAGCTCGTTTTACAGTCGATTGATTGTTCCTTATTTTCGATTACACGATCAATTTGATTAAAGCCATAGTTTTCGAGATAAAGCTCGCCAAAGTCAGATTTTTTGTTTTTTGTAACCCATATAACATTTTCCCATATCTCTCATAGTTTTGCCAGTAAAACGTATTAAATGTATTTAAAACCAATGAGCAAAATGCAAAAAAATTCAATTCTTTGCTGGAAATTGATTAAAGAATCAGTCCTGAAATTATTTACCAATGTATACGAAACACCCTGTATATTATATCACATATTATAATATAATATTTTCTTTCTTGATGCTTATTATATATATAATAATTTTCATAATAATTTTATTATATATATTAATATATAATTGAAACAGGTGAACATCCTGCAGCAATGCAAACTGGTGGCGGTTGTGGTAAAAACTGTTTGCATAGTAAATCATTTTATTGGAATATTATAGTTATATTGTATATCCTAGGAAATATACATTTAATAATTATAAATTCAGGTAAAAATAAAAAATTAAATCTTATAATTTTATATTTATTTTAAAAAATATAAAATGTAATAATAAGTAATTAATGGGTAATTCTCCAAAAAATCAAACAAATTTTCAAATTTTTCAAAAATTAAAAATCCTAATCGGAATTATTAACAAGAGTAATATGTCTGTATGTAAAATAGAATTTGATTAAAAATTGTATAATGCTCAAATAAGTGTGCTCTCATATTTTAATTTTTTTTATTCGTTAAATATAATAAATTAATTGGAAATTTTGATTTTTAATATTTTTGAGAAATCTAAATCATTGTTTTATATAATATATGCAAAAATATTTTTAATATAAATCTAGTGGAATCGAATATCATTTCAAATAGATTGTAATTCCATGATAATATTTTAATTTTATAATTTTTAATAAAAGTAAAAAACTGTTGAGAACAAGCATATGTTCAGTATTATAATTTTTAACAATTATAATAGATATGCGAAAATTTTCGGTACTATGAACAAATTTACAATGAAAATTTTATTAAAACCCATTGTAGTATTTTAATTTTTCATGCGTATTAGATGGTTAAATATTAACGATAGCAAATTTAAAATTTAATTATTTACAAATTTCTTTCACAATATTACGGCATTCAGATCCATTATGCAAAATTCCTTTAATATAAAGCATGTCTTTATACAAATTCTTGAAATATACTTGGAATTTTTCATTCAAGAACCGAAAACCATACCATTACAACACTTCATATTTCAACTCTCAAAATCAAACATTATTCTTAAAAATATTGTTATTCTATATCCCGGCCCTCTAAAGCAGAAACAGAGAATAAAATTTCCCAAAATTTATAAATAAAATTTGTTTATTGCAATTTAATATTAAAAATTACTATCAAATTAGTAAATTCTCTCAATTTCAAAATAATATTGCCATTATTTTAGATATAAACCAATTGTTATTACAATATTTTTGTTTTTTTTTTGGAGAATTACATAGTACACTATTTAAATGCATTTAATATTATAATTATATAAAAATTTATATACTTACATAATTAGTTTAATATATTTTAAATGCATTTATAATACACACATTGTATATGTAAATTTAATATATAATCAATAAGTTTTTAAATATTTTTATATTAATGTACAGAGTTTTTCATTTAAGGTTTATCATAATGTTATAATAATTATAATAACATTATAATTATAGAAGAGCTCCATAGAGAATGTTCTAAGAATTTTCTGAAATATTTATATGCGAAATAGTAGTAATACGAGACTAATATTGAAAACTAGACAATATTGTACACACAACACTGAAAACACTCAAAGTTTTAAAAATACTCAGCTTGAAATATTCCATTTTATGGAGAAATTTTTCATTTCTAAATACAATTGAGCAGAAAAAGAAGCACAATATAATAATTTTTAGAGTTCTCTCACTCATTCTTTGCATTTTTGACCAAAGAACAATGTAAGAAAATCCCGTTATACAAACGGGAACAATAGCTCTCAAATTTATGAGCAACTATCATCTACTATGGAGCAATTGGAAGCTTTGACCTGGCTGTTCAGGCAATGCACAAATTAACATTTTTCCCATTTTATAACACCAAAACTCACCTTAAATAGACCACTCTGTACTTTATTTTTTTTTTTATTTAATTATCTATATAAAATAAAAATCAATTTTTTTCTTTTTTATATTTTCTTTCTCTCTTTTTTTTTGTATTCTCTCATTTTTTTCATTTTCATCGATCCTATTTACATAAATAATATTTATACAAAATATATTTTTATATTATTTTTATATATACATACAAAGGAATTATTTAGAAGCTACCAATGGTCATTATTTTTACTATACTGATAAGATTATACAAAATCCGGAATTATTCTAAATTTCAACATAATAAACATGTAACTATCTTTATATATATATAACAATATAAATGTGCATATACATATGTATATCTATATATGTATTGAATAAAAGAAAGGAAAATTAAGGATGATTAAAGGATACAACAAAAATAGAATTATTATTTTTTTTGTTTTGTTTTTATAATAAAAAAAAGAGGAAAAAGCAAAAATTACATAAAATTTGTTTACTACTCCCATATATATACATATATATATATATATATATATTAGCAGATTTGTACAAAAAAAAATTGTTATACATAATATGTATAAATATGAATATACAAGCTTGCATATATACAGGATGAGTATGATAAAAAAGGATCCTGGATTTATGAAAATAAAAAAGGACAAAAAATAAAATCTTCATAGTATACAATTCTGGTATCCCAATGAATAATTTTTTTTTCAATATTTTTGTTGAATATATTTGTAGTTTCTTTGGAATTAAATGATTTTTAAAAAAAGAAATTGAAAGTCTTGATTTTTAGAAAATAATTCAATATTTTCTTGAATAAATCTTGGTGATTTTTAAAGAAATTCCCTAAAAATAAAATTCTTTAAAAATTCCAAAACAAATTTTTTACCGCAATTTATAAAGTAAAATAAATAATTGAGAATTTAAGAGACTTTTATTGTAATGTCATAAAAACTTTATTTACCCTTAAATTTTTCAAATCTCACACATTTAATGAAAGACAAAGGGCCAAACGTTTGATTAAATTCTTCGTTTAAGATTTGTTAGGAGTGTAATTGAAATAGAAGAGTACTTACCTTCACAGAACATTAGTTCTTTCTTCCAAAGGTTGAGCCCCTATACAAGATATTCAACAATAATAATCTTAGTAACTATTTTCCAGATTCCTCACTCGTAAACGGATTAATCCTGCTAAAACTAATTTCACTAATGCTTTGTCAGATGTTTTTATTATTTTTCAATTATTGTACAACAAAATGGCTTGAAGCTCTCAAATATTCGGAATTGTACTACGGTCTCAAAATAAAAGAACATCATTGAATAGAAATAGTTGTAAGGTTTCATCTTCATATTTATGGTCTTAATATTTTTCCAATAACAGCTTATGTTAAAGATATATAAAGAATATTTATACAAAGAAAATAAATTAAAATTATAGGATTTCACTGTGAAAAAATTCATCCACCTGTGATGAAATCTAAAAAGAAATTATCACATTTATTTGCAATAATCATTTGATGCATTAAAGGAATCATAATTTTTAAATTTATAAAAATAATTAAAAATTTTTTTAATTAAACTGAAAAATTTGCAGTTCTATTTTTTTTTTGTTTATTAATTTTTTCTATCATACTCACCTTGTATTATACTAGTGTATAAAAGTCATAATGCTGTATAAAACAAAAAAAGCTGAAACCAACCCAAAATATACGTTGGCTAATATTAAAAAATAAAAGAAAAAAAAAACAAGAAATGTTATTAGAGCATAATATAACGCTATCACAGTTCATAAATATTGGTTATGCGGCAAAACAAAAATAAAACAAAAAACACAAAACGCAAAAATAGTATCCTGTGGAAATTAAAAGTATTTAGAGGAAAATAATTTTATTTTCTATTTTTGTTTTTCTTTTCCCTTTTTATTTTTCCATTATTATTTATCATTAGCTTGAAAATATTATAATAATGATAACAACGGTCGATAGTTAATGAAATGAGAAAAAAAAAGCAAAAGTGACAACAAAAATACAAAAAAATTATCAAAAAAAAAATTTTTTTTTCGAACCCAAAAAATATTCTCGATATTATTTCCCCCCCCTCCCCCCCCAACTTTGTCCTTCACAATTTCCCCCTTATATTATAATTTTTACAATAAATATTTGAAAAAGGATATTTAAACTAGAGGAATTTCATAATCAATCTATGTACATAATAATAATAATCGTTAATATTATATTACATCAGTATAAATATATATATATACATACATACATATATGTACATATAAGTATATATATATACTAGTATATTAAAAATTAGTTTATCTATTTTGTATCACCAAAAAATTGCGGTTTAAGAGCTCGATAATTACTATTTTAGAATTAGGAAATAAAAACAGAAAAATTAAAAAAAAAAAACTAAAACAATAAATATAAAATAAATATAGAAAATATATAGAAATATGTTATAATTAATAAATAATGTATAGTTATGTAATATTTAAGATATATATATTTAGTTTTTAATTTTAGACTATATAATGATAAAATTCAAATAAAATGAAAAATATGTAATATACGTACGTAAGTTTGATATCAAAGGTGCGAATTAAATGAATATACGTCAATGAATATTCTCCATAATAATAAATTTGTATTTTGTATATTATTTGGTATACAAAGTTACGAGTATAACACTCTTAATAATTATTTTGCTTAAAAAATAAATATTTAAAAAAGAATTTGTAATTTCCATCTAGTGAATGAAATCCATGTGTATAATATTTTATTAAAAGGTAGTTAGAGGAATTAAATCCTGAGAAGTCAGAATCGAAGTCAGTATCAGAATCAGAATTAAAGTCAGAATAAGCTGCGAAGTCAGAATTAGAGTAAAAGTCAAGGTCGGAGTCAAAGCCAGTGTCTTAATCAGAGCTAGAGTCAGTGCCGGAATCAGAGTTATATTCAAAGTCAGAGTCAGAGTCAGAGTCAAAGTCAGAGTCAGAGTCAGAGTCAGAGTCTGAGTTAGAGTCAGAGTCAGAGTCAGAGTCAGAGTCAAAGTCAGAGTCAGAGTCAGAGTCAGGGTCAGAGTCAGAGTCAGAGTCAGAGTCAGAGTCAGAGTCAGAGTTAGAGTCAAGTTTGAATTCAGAATCAGACTCACAGTTTAAAACCAAAGTCAGATTCAGAATCAGATTTAAAGCCAAAGTCAAAGTTAGGTGCATAGTGGGAGTTAAATTATAACTCAAAATCAGAGCTAGAATCATAATCAGAGAAAGCATAAGAGTTGGAGTTGGAATCATATTTTATTGGAAATTTTTTATTGATTTTAAACTTTTATGCGGGGGCAAAGTTGAAATCAAAGTTCTCATTGGATCTAATTCGACGATTATTATAGTCGAATCTTATTCTAAAATTTCTATGACACAATTTTTGAATTTTATTTTAAAAATTGTTAGCATATTTCGTATACATTGAAGCAAAAATCACCTCCTCCATTACAAAACATTTCAGGTACATAAACAAATCCCATATCTTTAATAGTATATGACCAATATGATTCAAAGACTATATTATATTGAAATCGCTAAGACAACATTAATAATATTACAAAATCAAAATCATCACAACGTACATTAGTTTGATAAAATATTTATTCTGGCAACAATTTTAATTTATTTTAAACCATCTAATTTATCTATTAGACTTGTAAGTGTGTTGAAACGTTGATAGCATGATCATATTATTTTATTTAATAATTTTTAAATTAAAATTTATATAAGTGCATTATTATTATACTATAATATATTGTATTTAATAAAATATGTACAAGTACTCATAAATTCTCAACAAGTCATAATTTTCACATAAATTCTCTTCTCATCCAAAAAAAAATTATTCATTCGCGAATTATTTTCATTTTAAATATTTTGAGTTTTTAAAATTTTTCATTTTTGAAAAGTATGAAAAGAAAATTTTTCCCTCAAAAACAATTATTTATACAATCTATTTTTTATTGCTATATAATTAGTTATTTATTATATAATAATTATATATAAAATATGCATATATATATATATTTTTCATTTTATATGAAAAACTAACTAAACTATGAAAATTATAATAAAAAAATAAAATAAAAATAAAATAAAAAAAAATTTTTTTTTTGTTTGTATTTAAAAACTTTTATTTTTTGTAAATAAAATTATGTACGAGTATTAAAAAAATAACAAAAAAAAATAGAAATAAAAAATGTGTAAATAAATTTATTATATAAACGAAAGGAAATGTTTAGATAAACAAAAATAAAATAGAGAAAAAAAAAAAAACAAAAATAACAAAATAAAATTTTAATTTACCGAAAGTTTTAAAAAAAAAAAACAAAAGTGACTTTCATTTAATAAAAAAAATCTAGAATTACATTCAAAAATTTAAAAATTTTGAAAAAATCACCGAAAATAAGAGCGATTCTCATATTATCCTTTATAACATAGAGATTATTAAAAAAAAAATCCTGTTTTGATGAAAATCAAACCGCAATAATTACATTGGTTAAAAAAATGAAGGTGTTAAAAGCAATATTGTGGGTTTTATTATTGTTTTTCAAAAAAAAAATTTTTGTTTTTTCAATATTTCAAGGATTATTAAACTAGATAAAAGTGTTAAACCGAATAATACATAATTAACACTATATATATAGCATAAATCAACATCAGAAAAAAAAATTTTTATGGTTTTACTTTAATTTTAAATTGAAATTATTGAATTTTTATTGGAAATATTAGAAAAATACAAAAAAAAAAACAGGATATTCAAAATGCATGTTATCAAACCACAACAATTAAGTTAAATGGGTATTAAATTATTGCAAGAATATACAAAGGATAATGAGTTAATTTCATGGATTTACTTATTGTTTTTCTACTAAAACTTATGAAAAATAATCTGATACAGAATTGCTTTAAAATTTTTGTATTAATCTGCTTATTGGTTTTTTTTTAATAAAAGTTATGAAAAATAATCTGATACAGAATTTCTTTAAAGAATATTGAAAATATTATAAGGTATTTCTATAAAATATTCCTTTTTTCGGAACCTTAATTAATGCAAGGGTAATCCTGAAGTACAAAAATTTAATTAAAAATATTTAAAAATATTTTATTAAAATTACTATAATTGAAAATAATGAGTAACACTTATAAGAATTTGATTTCGATAATTTCTTGACAACAAAATACCGTCTGCTTCTTATCAAAATGCGGGCGAATAAAAATTTATCGGTAAACGCTTTTACTCATTAAAT